GTGTGTGTGTGTGTGTGTATGGTGTGTGTGGTATGTGATTGTGGTGTGGTGTGTGTGTGTGTGTGTATGGTGTGTGTGGTATGTGAGTGTGGTGTGGTGTATGTGTGTGTGTGTGTGTGTGTGTGGTATGTGAGTGTGGTGTGTATGTGTGTGTGTGTATGTATGGTGTGTGTGGTATGTGAGTGTGGTGTGTGTGTGTATGTATGTATGATGTGTGGAGGGTGGTATGTATGTGTGTGTGTGCCTGTGTATGCCACAGAACAACCTTGGGTGTCATCCTCAGAAATATTATCTGCATCATTTGAGATAGGAATCTCACTGGCCTGGACTCACTGCTTCCACTAATCTGGCTGACCAGTGAGTCCCAGGGATCCACCTGTCTCCGCCTCCCTGATATAGTCACAAATGAATTCCACCGTGTCCAACTTTTCCACGTGGGTTCCAGAGATTTAACCCAGTCCCTGAGCTGTCTGTCCATTGCTGATGTTAAATTTTGTTTTTATTCTTTTTGTTTGGTTGGTTTTTTGTTTTGTTTTATTTTTTAGACAGGGTTTCTCTGTGTAGCCCTGGCTGTCCTGGAACTCACTCTGTAGACCAGGGTGACCTAGAACTCAGAGATCCGCCTGCTTCTGCTTCCCGAGTACTGGGATTAAAGGCATGGGCCACTACTGCCGGGCCTGTTTTTATTCGTATGGCTGTCCTCTGGGCCTGTGGCGTCTTTTCCTAGCCTTGGATTACCTGTCACCTGTTCTCAACTCTTTGGTTTTGGGCCAACTCTCACTTGCACAGGGTCATGATCTGGCTCGGGGGTCCTGGCTTGCGTCCTCCCTCCTTGACAGACTCTCCAGGGCCCTGAACTCTGTCTCCCCAGTCCCAGCCTTCCTAGGGGCTGTACCTGCTGCAGCCCACTTCCTTTCTGCTTTGGTTGCTGTCGCCTCTTGTGTTCTCAGCCTCAGCCCCTAGGACCAGCTCTCTTCCCAGATTTGGTTTTGGGGGTCCCTTGTATCCCAGCCCCTGATACTGCAGGGAATGAAATAGAAATATAGGGAAGGGTACATCTGGGAACTGTATCCCTATGAACCTAACTTCCCTTTGCAGAACGGTAAACCAAGGTCTAGACACATGAACACCCCTGCTTGAGGTCATACGGCAGTCGGGGGAGGGGAGGGGATGGGCAGGACCAAGGCTCTACATTCCCCGAACCCACCCTACCTGCTCTGTTTCTCAGCTGTGAGTGTTGAATGGCACATGGAACTTACTGGGCCCCTGAGAGATGTCAGTGCGTGTCCCCATTACATGTGTCTGTGGTCACATAAGCAGTGTGTGTCACTGCTGGCCAGTGTCTCAGCACACGCCTAGTGTGTGGGGCCCACTGTGCTGTAGGAATGGCTGGCCAGTGTGTGCACATGCAGTGCATGCGTGCGTGCGTGCGTGCGTGCGTGCGTGCGTGCGTGCGTGTGTGTGTGTGTGTGTGTGTGTGCGCGCGCGCGCGCGCGTGCGCGCGCACGTCCGTTATGAAATGCAGGCTCTTCCCTGTTCTGTGCCAGCCCTCGGCTAACAGCTGACTAATGTCCCCAAAGTGAGGCGATCCTGTAGGATCACTGAATTCACTCAGAAAGGGGTTCCCTGCAGATCAGGACAGCCCAGCCTACACCTTTCTCTCCATGCTTCAGCACCTCAGGCCTGTCCCCCAGCACCCCCTCTCCACCAAGGTCATTGCAGCTGAGCTGACCCTGGCCCTGTGTGTCCTTCAGACACTTGTCTAGAGCACTGGTGCCCGCGGGAGCGGAAGACTCATGCTTACACCCACTTCACGGTCCCCAGCTGCTGCCTCTGCCTCTCTGAGACTCCCTCCCCCGTCTGTAAATGGAACTAGCTGTGACCGGAGAGCTGTGGGAGAGAGAGAGAGACCATCAGGAGGAAGTCCTATCCAGGGACTGAGGAGATGGCCCGCTGGGTAAAGTGCTCTTCACACAGGCATGAGGGCCTGAGTTCAGATCCCAGGAACACTTACAAGGCCAGCATGTCAGCAGTGCCCGGGAAGCAGCCAGCGCCAGGAGGGCTCCTGGCTCGCAATCACTCGCCAGGCTGCCAGGCTGAACCACGGAGCTCCAGGTTCAGTGAGAGACCCTGCCTCAAAAAGTCAAGTGGAGAGCAGCCAAGGAAGACGCCCAATCTGGACTTCTGGCCTTCACATGGGCATATGACACACACCCCTACACACACACACACACACACACACACATGAACATATGGACACACATTCATACACACCAAAAACAAACAAAGCAAAACACCTCTACCCATTCTGGTATGAATAATGAAGGCCATCTATTGAAACCAAGGTCCCAGAGCAAGCCAGTGACCCGGTGCCTGGACACTAGACTCCTGCTTCCTCATGACTTGAGGATGCAGGGTGGACAGCAGTGAGTGGTGGGTTTTAAAAATAAGGCTGTTAGCTATGCATAGTGGCACACACCTTTAATCCCAACACTGGGGAGGCAGAGGCAGGTAGATTACTAAAAGTTTGAGGCCAGCCTGGTCTACAGAGCAAGTTCCAGGACAACTAGGCTGAGAACACAGAGAAACTCTGTCTTGGAAAAACAACAACAACAAAACAAATAACAATAATAATAATACTAAGGCTGTCAGCCTGTAATGCTAGCATTTAGGAGGCAAAGGGAGGAAGAGGAGTTCAGTGCTAGCCTTAGCTATACAATGAGTCCAAGGCTAGCCTGAGCAAAATGGGACTCTCTCTTGACAAAACAAAAGCCGGGCCCCTGCAATGGACTTGACATAGCGTTGTCAGGAGCGGGCGGGCCAGAGGGGCTGGGACAGAGCTGGGTCCAGCCTCAGCTCTAACTCCCGGCAGTGGCTGCGGGTGTCTAACTGCCCACCCCTGTCTCGTGTCCCCCTCCCTCTGCCCCACCTGCTTCCCCTCCAGCAGAAGGCAGACCTGGCTGTGGCAGCCTTCACCATCACCGCTGAGCGGGAGAAAGTCATCGACTTCTCCAAGCCCTTCATGACCCTGGGGATCAGCATCCTCTACAGAGTGCACATGGTACATTTCCCTGTGTGTTCGGGGAGGTGGGGGGAGGTGGGGGGTGTGCCCTAGCATCGTGGCTAGGGATGGGCTTAAGTAGACCTGGGGTTGATGGTCTGGTTGGGCTTCTGAGTTCCTGGAGGGTGCAGGGGCTGAGCACACAGTCTGTGGTGGGGTGGGGAGTGGGGGTGGGGTGGGGGGGTAGCTGCTCTCACTGGGCTTTCTTCCACCTAGGGCCGCAAGCCTGGCTATTTCTCCTTCCTGGACCCCTTCTCCCCTGCTGTGTGGCTCTTCATGCTTCTTGCCTACCTGGCTGTCAGCTGTGTCCTGTTCCTGGCTGCCAGGTGAGTGGGCCACCTGCTCCCGGGGAAGGAGGGGTGGGGACAGGCAGGAGCCCAGCCCACAGGCCACCCACACCCAACAGTGTGGGGCCATGGGTGCCCTATACCCTGCCTTCCTGTCTGTTTCTCTCTTTGCCCTTGGGGATCTGACTTGGGCTCTGGTGCATCTCTACCGGGCCTCTCTCCTTCCCTCTCTATCTGCTTCTCTCTCTACTGCAGTGTCTACTCCTGTGGTGTGTTAGCACCTCTGCTCTCTGCCCCCCCCCACCTCCCCACTTTCCTGCCCGTGTCCGTCACTCTCTTTCCCCGCCCCTTCTGGTCTCTTCTGACACAGTGGCTTCACCTCCTACCTCTTCTTTTCTGCGCCTCAGCCTCACCCACCCACCCGTCTCTCCACAGGCTGAGCCCTTACGAGTGGTACAATCCGCACCCATGCCTTCGGGCGCGTCCCCATATCCTGGAGAACCAGTACACGCTGGGCAACAGCCTCTGGTTCCCCGTGGGTGGCTTCATGCAGCAGGGCTCGGAGATCATGCCCCGGGCGCTGTCCACGCGCTGTGTCAGCGGAGTCTGGTGAGCCTCTATGTGTCTACACGGTCAGGACTGGGAGGCCTTTGTTCTGGGGATAGGGGCTGCTGTGCTGTCCCTGGCAAGTTCCTCTTTCCTTCCATGGCTGCAATTAAGAGGCGAACCTCAACGAAGTAGCCCACTGTCTCTATGGCCTTGGGTATGGATGTCCCCTCTCCTTGCCTCAGTCTCCCTCATCTGAAAAATAAGACGGAAAGGCCTGTCACATTTATAAGCATTTGAAGATGGCTGGAGAAGGGGAATTGTGAATTTGAGAGCAGCCTGAGCTTAAATATCAGGTTCAAGGTCACCATGGGCTACTAACAAGACAGTGTCAAAAAAATACCAAGGATTGGGGCCACAGCTTACTGGGAGTACTCAGCTAGCATGTACAAGGGCCTAGGTTCATCCTAAGCACCTGGGCGGGGGTGGGGTGGGGGTGGGGGAGCATGACTTGGGCGTCAGTGAGTCTATGCTGAAAAGTACAGAAAAGTGAGCAGTCTGCTGCCATGGCAGGAGGGGTGCCCCTCTTGCTGTCTGTGACATTGCCCTGGTCATTACAGAGATTTAGAGTTCTTGAAGTCTTGTGGGGACCCACTATCCTGGATAAGATTCATTTCCCCCTGGAACATGCACCAGGAAGCTCATGCCAGCTACAGCCCATGATGCCTGGCCCACATTATTTTAAATTTTTATTTCTTTTTTTATTTATTTGTTTATTTTATTGTGTGTGTGTTCATGCAAATGCAGGTGCATCCATATATGTGATTTTGTGTGTGTGTGTGTGTGTGTGTGTGTGTGTGTGTGTGTGTATGATGGATGTGGAGTACTGTGTGGGCACATATACATACATGCAGTTGTGTGTGCAAGAGGGTGTGTAGGCCAGAAGTTGGCACTGAGTGTCGTTCTGTGTTGTGCTCCACTTTATTTTTTGAGGCAGGATCTCTCACTGAACCTAGAGCTCACCAATTTAACTAGAAGGCTGAAGAGATGGCCCAGTGGGTACAAATGCTTGTGGTGTAAGCCTGCCCGACTGAGTTCAATACCAGAAGCCGCAGGAAGGTGGAAAGAGAGAATCAATGGCAGGATTCTCCTCTGTCCTCCACACGTGCACTGTGGTGTGCACATAATCCATATCACACATGCACACACACACACAAATAATAACAATAAACAACCAAGCAACCAAGGCATGGGAGAGGCTGGGGACATTGCTCAGTTGGCAACAAAGTGCTTGCTTAGCCTGTGAGAAGATCTGACTTCAGTCCCCATCAGTGCGTACATAGGACCTGGTGGTATACACCTGTGTTCTCAGCACTGGGCGACACAGGCAGGCGGATCCGTCCAAGGCCATCCTTGGCTACATACTGAGAAAAGGGCTAGGAACATAGCCTGGTATAGAACACTTGCCTCGGATGCTCAAGGCCCTGCATTTAATACCCAGCACTGGAAAAACAGAAATTCAGACAGTACCTCTGTGTTCATGCCTATGTCTGCGACAAAGATCACCACCAATTTAGTGGTTTAAAATGGCATAAATGTACTGTCGTTCAGTTCTGGACATCAGAAACCCACACTAGATTTGCTGGACACCTGCTTTGGCGGGGGTTCAGGTCCCAAAGAGGATGTACAGGGTTGCAGGGTGGAGGTGGACACGATCTGAGGGTGAATCGGGATCGCCGCCAGCAGCGTTTAATTGAAAAAAGACTCCACCTTTTATTCTCTATAGTTGCACATAGGATTAACCAGGAGACAAGGGGCGTGTGAGCTGCGGGGTGGCCTGAGGTCACGGGTCGAGGAAGCTGGCATTGCCCTTGACACTGGGCACCAGTCATATGTTACTGTAAGGACCACAAGTTCCTCTTGCTAGAGATAAGGAGAATGACTGCTTTATCAAGCAGGAACTTTCCTCAAGCCCCTGCGGGAATGGAGACCCTTATCCAAGTGTCTGACCTGTGGAAAAGGACTTCTTCTGGGGAGCAGACACTATATTACAGTTTCTTAGTCTTACTCATGGTCCTGTTCCTCTCATTACTCTCCCCAAAGGCAAGGTCCTGATGTCCTACTCTTTCCCCATTATACAGTGTCATTCTGATTTCTCTGTATTTATTAACTGAACTCTTGCCCTTAATGGCCTCAGCTCTGGATCTGAATCGTAGGCATTTCCTCCTTGGGATCAGGTGTGTCTAGTAAATCTCTAACTTTCCTGATCTTGGTGTAATTAGGAGGGCACATTGGAATTCCGGGTTCCTCGGTTGTGGGGATTTTTTTTCCAAAGAATTATTTTGTTCAAAGAGGCTACCATTGTACACATTTTTATCCTTTACCAAAGCCCACACAGAATTTCCCAAAGGGAAAGGCATTAATAGTGAGAATCATTAAACATGAAAGTTAAAAGATGCTGGAGACGTGTGGTCCACATTGTCGAAATGCTGGAACTTCAAGCAGCAATGGTTGCCATGTGGTCCACGCCATAGTTCTGATGGGGCTAAAAGTCATTAGTGGGCCTGCCTCCTGCAGACCCCCAAACACCCCTTTACTTATCTTTTCTAGCTTTTAGAAGCCTCCTGCATTTTCTGATCTATGGCCCAGTACTTTAAAAAAAAAAAAAAAAAAAAAAAAAAGGCAGCATAACATCATCAAATCTCTCTCCCTGACTTGTTATTTATTTTTGCAAAGCTAAATATAGAACCTAGGGATTTGTGCATGCTAAGCAGGAGTACTACTTACCTTCCCTGGGGGATTCTAGGGAGGGACACTACCACTGAGCCACACCCCAGCCCCTCACTGGGGATTCTAGGCAGGGGCTCTACCACTGAGCCACACCCCAGCCCCTCACTGGGGGATTCTAGGCAGGTGCTCTACCACTGAGCCACACCCCAGCCCCTCACTGGGGATTCTAGGCAGGGGCTCTACCACTGAGCCACACTCCCAGCCCCTCACCAGGGGATTCTAGGCAGGAGCTCTACCACTAAGCCACACCCCCAGCCCCTCACTGGGTGATTCTAAACAGGGGCTCTACCACTGAGCTATATCACCAGCCAAGTTTTTTGTATTTTGGAGACAACTTCTCACCAAGTTGCTTACGCTTGTCTTGAATTCACTCTTGTAGCCCCAGCTTACCTGAGCTTTTGGTCCTCCTGCCTCAGCCTTTGAAGAACCTGGAATTACGATGCTTTTCCACTGGACTCGCCTCTGGTTTCCTTTCACATCCACGCACTTGTGATTCACCAGGCCTGCCTGGACGGTCCAGGATCGCTTCCTCACTCTAGCCCTTAATTTCACCTCCAAAGTTGCTTTTCCCATGCAATGACAGGTCCATGTTTTCCACGGATTAAGGGGTAGATGTCTGGCGCTAACAATGGAAGGGGCTTATTCGGCTCCCTCAAGTCCTGGGTGAAAGGTGTTGGTGTGGTCGGCGCCATGGTGCACCAGCCACGCCTTGACTGCTTCTGAGGGATGGACAGGTACCCTGACCGAGCTGTGGACGGTAGTCCTGAGTTGATGAATCTGGACTGATCTAAAGGCAGGGAACCAGAGGTCTGCACTCTGCGAGCCCTGCTGCTCCCTCCTTAGCCTGGGCCCTGCTTCCTGAGGGCCATGCTGTCTAGCCAGTCATTTCCTGCCCTCTCCCATTGCAGTCACCCAGGAGGCCGTTCGTCGCTCGCTGGAGCTGTTTGCCCAGCCTCATGCTCTTCCACGCCCCTAGTCTGCTCACACACTCCACTCACTCATCAGATACTGGTTGATCTCCACGTGTGACCAGTGACAGTGACGAGAGGCCGATCCCCCACCATCCTGCCGTGGGACTGTAGGGCATCGCTGCTGTCGTTCTAGGGCATCTCGTGGGCGCCTGGCCAGAACATGCCTCCTGGGCAGTGGCCACTCAGCCCACAGTCTCCTGTAGCCATACCCACCAGCTCCTCACTGAAGATAGGCCTGCCTCAGAAATCAGCATGCCCAAGGCTGTCTTTGACCACAGCCTCTGACCCTCCCAGGGCTCTCTCCCTTGGTCACTGCTTGGGAATGGAATCCCCTGACCTCACTCTCCTTGCTTTCTGAGCCCTGCCTGCCTTCACATCTCAATGTCCAGGTTACCTCCTCAGCTACCATCTTCACGCCCTCCTGACAAGAAACCCCTCAACTTGATCCAGCTAGCAGCAAGGCTTCTCCCCTTCCCCCAACCCTCCCATGTGCCCCCTGCGTCCATGTGTCCAGTCACGTCCTTATGTCAGGCAGCGTGTGTGCTTCCTGCTCGCTGTCCGCTTCCAGGGGCCTCTGGCTCTTCAGTCCTCAGCTTCCTGCTGCTCCCTGCTCCCTCCGCCCCTTCCCCGTGAGTTCACTGGTACCAGCAGTGTTTGCAGACCCCCTTTTCATAGCTAATGTTATTTTAATGCTTTTCCGTCCTGAGCTGATACTTAGGTTTTTTTAGGACTGGTGAGATGACTCAGTGGTTAAGAAAGCTCTTGCAGGGGACCCGAGTTCGGTTCCCATCACCCAACTCAGTAGGCTCACAACTGCCTGTAACTGCAGTTCCAGGGGATCCAACACCCTATTGTGGCCTCCAGTGGCAAAGCTGCACCCACATGTACACACACACACACACACACACACACACACACACACAAGATTTAAAAAAAAACAAAAAACAAAAAACTTTCAGTACAATGCTCTAGTTGTAATGAGAAAAAGAAGGTGGTGTGATTTATTGTTGCTTGTTTGTTTTTTGAGACAGGGCCTCACCTGGTAGCCCTGGCTGTCCTGGAACTCACTATGTAGACCAGGCTGACCACAGACTCACAGAGATCCACCTGCCTCTGCCTCCCAAGCACTGAGATTAAAGGTGTGCGCCACCACCGCCTGGCTAGGTGATATGATTTGTAATTGGATAACATAAGAGCAATAAGCAAATGCTTGTGCATGAATATGTCAGAGGACAGAAACAAGATAGGTGACATCTATTTATAATGAGTCAGTTTGGGATGCCGAGAAGTAAGGTCATTGATTGGCACATTGTTGACGCTCAACGTTTGACACTTGGAAATATTTGGCAAAGGAATGTGCCGGTGCCGGTGTGAATCACCGGGAATGGTGCAGCTGGCCCAAGCATCTTGACTTGCTGACTCAAATACCAGTGGAATTGCTGTTCTAAATGTGACTTCCAGAAACGGTGAGCATTTTTCGGCAGTTCCCCACAAAGCAGCATGAGGCCCTCCAGCTGAATGAGAGCCGCACTCTGGAGATTTCAGCTCATACTATGACCGTGCAAGAAATACCTATGTTTCCCTGCATCGAGGAGTCAGGCTTTGGGAATTGTGTCCTCAATGTTCTGTGTTGCCAGCCTGCCCAATGGTTGACAACTAACAAAGTCCCCCACACTTGAACCAACACGAAATACCCTCCAGAGGCATGTCCCCACTGCAAGCCACTCCTGAATGCACTGGGCCAGGGCTGCTCACTTCCAAGTGTGTCCAGGCAGCTTAGGCTGATTCTCTTGGGTGCTAACAGCTAACCTCAGATTTACCTTATCCGAAAAAGGCAGCGAGTCATATCGCCCTGTGCCCATCACCACCACCTGTCCATCATGCAGTCTCAAGGGCCAGCCTGGCATCTGATACATGCTGGGCAGCCAGTGGGTCATTTCTTGGTTGTGAATAACATTGGCCCATGAGGCGAGTGTGGAGAAACTCAGTTTCCGGAGAGATTATGTCAGTTCCCGGGCATCATGTCAGGGTCAGAGAGTTGTTTCTGTAGGAAACTAATATATACCCTTCTGTCCACTCACCCTCAACCCAGAACCTCTCTGCACATGCCCTAGGCAGAGGCCAGTGGCCTCTTCTCATTAATGCCTGCTAAGGAGCCAGTGGGGTCTGGGAGGCCCTCTTGGGTCTGTGGCCTACGAGAGCGTCGGCCACGCTTACTTGGCAGGAGGGCGTCCGGGGCAGAAGAAATGGCTGCCCTGGGGTCCTGCAGCCAACCCCACTGGTGACCTCTTCTCCTTCCTGAGTCAGGTGACGTCACTAAGACAGTGACAGTAAACACTTGCCTAGCACATTCTGTGTTTCAGGCTAGCCCGCTCTTCCTAAAATCCTGTGCGGAAGAGCCAGCAAAGGTGCGGCCTGCCCCGTGAGGACACCAGAGCACAGCCTCAAGGTCACACGGCTAGCCACGGGTAGAGCCAGGACTTGGGGATTTTCCAGTTCTTCCCATTATTGATTTCTAATTCACTTCCATTGTGGTTGGAGAGCATTCTCTGCAGGTCTTTAATCCTTTTAAATTTATTGAGACGCGTTTCGTGGCTCTGCAATATGGTCTGTCTTGGGAAATGTTCCCTGCACTTGCTCTGGAGATGGATTTCAATGTTGGTGGGTGAAATGTTCTAGAAATGCCTTTGAGGGTGAGTTGTTTGATGTTTTTGTCCACGGCTTCTGTCTCCTCACTGATTCTCTGTCTGGCTGTCCTGTCAACCAGAGAGGGAAATGATGGAGTGTCTCCCCGTGATCCTTAGAAACTCTGTGTGATCTTCAGTTGTCAGTTTGCTATTTCCTTGTTTGGGATTCCTCTCTCTCTCTCTCTCTCTCTCTCTCTCTCTCTCTCTCTCTCTCTCTCTCTCTCTCTATGAGATTAGAACCCAGAGTCTTGTAAAAATACTTTTATCACTGAGCTAAATCCCAGCCTTTCATTGGTGAATTCCTGGCAGGTTCTGAACAGGTGAACCACACCCCCAGCCCCTCACTGGGGGATTCTAGGCAGGGGCTTTACCACTGAGCCACACCCCAGCCCCTCACTGGGGGAATTCTAGGCAGGGGCTCTACCACTGATCCACACCCCCAGCCCCTCATTGGAGGATTCTAGGCAGGGGCTCTACCACTGAGCCATGCCAGCCCCTCACTGAGGCAAGCATTTCACTGTGGAATTAGTTTTTTGCTTTGTAATTTTTGTTTATAGCTTTTTAAAAATTGTCTTTATTGCCAGGTGGTGGTGGCTCATACCTTTAATTCCAGCACTCAGGAGGTAGAAGCAGGTGGATCTCTGTGAGTTGGAGGCCAGCCGGGTCTACAGAGCGAGTTCCAGGATAGCCAGGAATACACAGAGAAATCCTGTCTCAAAAAACTTTCTTTATTTACAGGGGGATCATGCAAGCCACAGAGCACATGCAAGCTCACCAGACAAATTATGGGAGTCAGTTCTCTCCTTCCACCATGTGGGACCAGGAGATCAAAAAGTCATTAGGTGGCCGGCGGTGGTGGCGCACGCCTTTAATCCCAGCACTCAGGAGGCAGAGGCAGGCAGATCTCTGTGAGTTCGAGGCCAGCCTGGGCTACAGAATGAGTTCCAGGAAAGGCGCAAAGCTACACAGAGAAACCCTGACTCAAAAAACAAACAAACAAAGTCATTAGGCTTGGTGACAAATGCCTTGACTGGCTGAGCTGTCTCTTGGCAGTCCCGCTTTGAGCTTTGAAACTCTGTAATTAAGGGCACTAATGCCTGGGACTGTCTATCCTCTTGAGACGCGATCTGATCATGTCTCTCGGTCCTGGTCCCAGTGTTTCTTCTGAAGTTAGTGTTACACTACAGCTTTTGGTCTCCAAGTGTTTACATGGTATATGGCTTGCCCATCATTTTAGTGTGTGTGTGTGTGTGTGTGTGTGTGTGTGTGTGTGTGTGTGTGTGTGTGTGTGTGTGTGAAATATTATTTGATTATTTTATGTGGATGGCTATTTTGCCTGCCTGTTGTGTGTACCTCATGTGCAGTTCCCAGAGAGGCCAGAAGAGGGCATCAGATGCTCTGGAACTGGGGTTATAGATGGTGGTGAGCAGCCATGTCCGTGCAAGGACTGGGTCTTCCAGAAGAGCAGCCAGTGGTCCTAACCCCTGAGCCATCTCTCCAGCCCTCCCATCTGCTGATTACTGAACACCTCTGCTTGGAGGACACCCACGAGATGCCCCGCCCCCTGTGAACCCTGCCGGGTTGTTCTTTGCTTGAGAAGATTGCCTGTCTGTCCTCGAGGGGTCTCACCTCATCCACACGCGCACACACTGATATTCAGCACAAGACCCAAATGAACCCTGAGTTTCAGGAAACCCTTCCGCCACTTATGTGACTCTTTCCTCTTGAGTGTTCTGTCCCCCAAAACCTAGTCTCTATCCCCTCAACTTGCAGGACTGTTGGACTTTTCCTCCCCTGCAGCTTAGTTCATGAATTAAATACAGCCACAAAGCTGAGACAAAAACCAGGCTCGCCGCGAGTCACAGCCCCATGTTGCCTATTGGGGCCACCATCCTAAAATACTTTCCTCTGGAAGCACAGGCCTGTAATCCCAGCTGCTTAAGAGACTGAGGCGGGGGGATATCCAATTCAAGCCTAGCCAATACATTCAAAGCCAGCTTGGGCAACATCTCAAATTTAAAATGCAGGATGTGCCGGGCGGTGGTAGCACCTTCCTTTAATCCCAGCACTCGGGAGGCAGAGGCAGGTGGATCTCTCTGGGTTCGAGGCCAGCCTGGCCTACAAAGCGAGTTCCAGGACAGGCTCCAAAGCTACACAGAAAAACCCTGTCAAGAAAACAAACAAACAAACAAAAAAGAATCGCTGGGAGTTCAAAGCCTGACTGGTCTACAGAGTGAGTTCCAGGACAGCAAGGGCTACACAGAGAAACCTTGTCTCGAAAAACAAACAAAAAAGAAGTTCGAGAGATGGCTCAGTGGTTAAGAGCACTGGCTACTCTTGCAGAGATCTGGAATTTGGTTCCTAGCACATACCTTGGGTGACTCATAAACACCTGTAACTCTAGCTCCAAGGATTCGATTCACTTCCCTCTCCTGGCCCTCCTTCTGCATGTCCATGGTGCACTTACATACATGATACAAAGCACTCATGTACTGAAAAATATATAGGTAGATAAAGATTTTTCCCCCCGTTTTTCGAGACGGGTTTCTCTGTGTAGCTTTGCGCCTTTCCTGAATCTTGCTCTGTAGACCAGGCTGGCCTCCAACTCACAAAGATCCGCCTGGCTCTGCCTCCCGAGTGCTGGGATTAAAGGCGTGCGCCACCGCCGCCGCAGCTGCCGCCACCACCACCACCACCCGGCGACAGATACTTTTAAAAATATATAAAATAGTTAGGAATGTAGCCCAGTGGTAGAGCCCCTGCCTGGAATCCCCCAGTGAGGGGCTGGGGACACGGCTTGGTGGCAAAGCACTTGCCTAGCATGCTTGAGACCCTAGTTCTAATCACTGTATTGCTAAAAATTTTCTCTATTCTGTACAGCTTTCTTAGCTGCCTACATTGAGAGTGTATTTCCAAACCATCTTCCTCGGAAGTTTCTGGAAGCAGTACTTAACCTAGCAAGTCAAGTTCTGGAACCCACATTCCTGGCCTCTGCCCTAACTAACAGGCACTGAGCCTTTTGAAAGTCAGAGCCGCTGGGGTCAAGGGTCAGGAAAAGCCGGGGGGGGGGGGGGGGGGGGGGGGGGCGTTGCAGGTCAAGGTGGTTCCAGCTTGTAGCTCATCCGTATCCCACCCCTCAGGTGGGCCTTCACCTTGATCATCATCTCCTCCTACACGGCCAACCTGGCTGCCTTCCTCACGGTGCAGCGCATGGAGGTGCCCGTGGAGTCGGCGGACGACCTGGCGGATCAGACCAACATTGAGTATGGCACTATCCACGCCGGCTCCACCATGACCTTCTTCCAGGTGGGGCACCCCTAGGACCTCTAAGGCTCGGTGTGAGGGCAGTGGACACGCTTGGCCTGTTGGGGTTGCGGGGAGAGCTGCTACCTGGCTGGAAAGCCTGACCTTTACCTGGTGAATGGAAACATGGAGGCAGATGCGAACCTCGTGTGAGCCAGCACTGGGCAGTGCGGGCGGAGGGTCAAGGAGGCTGCTGGGAGGATTGGGCCAGGTAGTGTGAGGAAGGAGGGGAAGCTGCAAGGTGAGAGGAATTCACGCTTGCGTGTGTGGAAAGGGGAGGGGAGGGCTCGAGGGAAACCCGTGGAGTGGCCCCCACCCACCTTCCTTCATACTCCCTCTGCCAAGAACTCGAGGTACCAGACGTACCAGCGGATGTGGAACTACATGCAATCGAAACAGCCTAGCGTGTTCGTCAAGAGCACAGAGGAAGGAATCGCCCGAGTCCTCAACTCCCGCTACGCCTTCCTGCTGGAGTCCACCATGAATGAGTACCACCGGCGTCTGAACTGCAACCTCACCCAGATCGGGGGCCTCCTCGACACCAAGGGCTATGGCATCGGCATGCCGCTGGGTACGAGCATGGCTAAGCTTGAAATGTGGGAGGAGATGTGGGGGCCATACTCACCAAGGTGTGTGAGCGAACCCAGGAATATCCCAAGACACGCAGCCTTGCTGTGTGACCCTGGACAGGTGCAGTCACCATCCTAAGCCTGTACACTTTAAACATGCAAAACGTCAGCCTAGAAGCTGGTGAGCTCCAGCCTCGGGGGATAGTGAGAGAATTGAGGTGACTTTGCATGTACACCTCAGTAAACATGAGCTACGAGACGCAACACCTCCATGGGAGACGAGATTTTGGTTTGTTTGGTTTTTAGTTCTTTGAGACAAGGTCTCACCTTCAAGTAGGTCAGGTTGTAGATGAAGATGACCTTGAACTTCTTGATCCTGCTACCTCCACCTCCACATACTAGGGACATGTGGTACATATACCACCTTGCTCAGCTGTACCGGACTTGGTTTTCTTCGCTTCATGTTCTCTACATCAATCCTACATCCTAGCTCAGAGCAGATCCTCAGGAAAAGCAGGAAGGAGCGAGGGGGAACAGTTTATACTTCAGGACACACTGTTTCAGTGCCCAGTGATAGAAACCCCAATACTAGTTTGTCTCCAAACATTGGTAATATTTTCTCAAGTGGTGAGACCTGGGTACTTACTCTGTCGGCCCAGGACCAACAAGCATCCATCATCTCCCCTTGTCCATATCTCTACTGCCCTGCATTCAGTAGGTGCTTCAGAATAGAGGGCCCAAGGGGAGCACTGACGGGGAAGAGGAGGAAGGATACAGAAGCGGGAGGATGGGGATCCACTCAGCCAACTGCTACAGGGCTCTTCCAGTGGCAGGCACATTAGGGCGTAGACAGAGCCGCGTCCTGTGGAAGCAGGTGTGACACGCGCTGTGGACAGGGGCAGTGGCAGAGACTGACAGCAGGTGGAGGGCCTGGCGCCGTTTTGAATCAAGTGTCCAAAAATGACTTGTGAGGAGCCAGTGTGTAAGCAGAGACCCAAGGGAGAGGAGGGGAAGGGTGTACCGGGCAGAAGCAAAGACCCTAAAGTAGGGCGTTGTCTGGCAGATATGGGGACCCACCAGGAGGCCAGTGTGGCAGGGCTGGGTGAGATGGGCCCCTAGGCATGGCGGCGCCATGACAGGGAGCCTGATCCTGCTCGCACCAGCTCGAGAGGCCTGACCTCTCTCTTGGCTGTTGTGTGATGAGATCGGGTAGAAGCTGGGAGAGGTGGCAGGGCAGGTGGGATTTGGGGTAGTGGGGCCCACGGCCATCCCCTCATGTGCCCGGCCAGGCTCCCCGTTCCGGGATGAGATCACGCTGGCCATCCTGCAGCTCCAAGAGAACAACAGGCTGGAGATCCTGAAGCGCAAGTGGTGGGAAGGTGGCCGGTGCCCCAAGGAGGAGGACCACAGGGCCAAAGGTCAGCCACCCCGTCCTGTGCCGCTCTTTCCCAGAAACCCCTTCGGCCCACACCCACACTGCCCATACCCCGGCTCTCCCCACCCTCCAGGTTTGGGCATGGAGAACATTGGCGGTATTTTTGTCGTGCTCATCTGCGGCCTCATCATTGCTGTCTTCGTGGCGGTCATGGAATTCATCTGGTCCACGCGGAGGTCAGCGGAGTCTGAGGAGGTGAGGAGATTGACTGTGGCTGGAGGTGGAGCAGGGGAGACCCCGGGGGACATTAAGGACCCAAAGTGGTGGGTTGGATGAAGGAGAGGGAAGATGTAAGAGATGGGGAGGGGTCGGGGAGCCAGAAGGTAAGAGAGAAGCCAAGGAACTCCTGGTTAGATCAAGGAGGTCCCAGGAGAGGTGACAGGTCAGAGAACTGGACAAAGAATCCAGGCTATGAGAAAGGACAGAGAAGGGAAGGAGAGTGATGAGAATTCAAGGGCCCACCAGAGAACGGTGTGGAGGACCCCAGAGAAGCAGGACGCTGAAATACAAAAAAGGAAATAGCCGGTGCACTGAGGAGGCAGAGGTGGGAGCATAGATCAGCTGTCCAAAACTGTTTTCATCTACATAGTGAGTTCAAGCCCAGCTTGAGCCACGTGATACCCTGTTTGAGAGACAGACAGACAGACAGACAGACGACAGACAAACCAAGCATAGTGGCTTCATAATCCCAGCACTTGAGAAGCTGAGGCAGGAGGATTGCCACGGTTTGCCTCAGCCTCTCAAGTGGTAGCATTGCAGGAGTGCCCCATCATACCCATCTGAGACTATGCCCTTGAGAGGCCGTTCTTATATATTCCTTATGACCCTCGAGAGGGAAGCAGGGTGAGGAAGTGGCTGGGCCAGTCTTCATTATGGTGTCCCTGGAAGAGGCAGGGCAGAGAGAAAATGCAGCAAAGGACTGGCTGGTTTGAGTCACGTTGGTGGGCTCAGAGCATGGGCTGTATTGTCTTGTCTTGTTTTTGTATCTGTGGTCCTGGGGGTAGAACCCAGGGCCTCATGTATGCCAGGTAAATGAAGCCCTTCACGGGTAGTTTCTAAGCAAGTGCTCTACCAATAAGCTATATCCTCAGCCCTATTTTTACTTTTTATTTTAAGACAGGGTCTCACTAAGTTGTCCTGTCTGGCTTAGAATTCACCCCTTAGCCCAGGATGGCCTTAAACTTGCAGTCCTCCTGCCTCGGCCTCCTAAGAGGCTAGGGTCACAGGTCTGCAGCCCCAGGCCTCTCCAGATTCACCAGTGTTTGGTTTGCTATGAAGGGTGGTTCCACCCTCAGCTCTCTAAAGCATGGCTGATTCTGAGAGGGACAGCCTTCCACCAGCCTGTAAGATCCTAGAACATCAAACGTCCGGAAACAAGAATTAAAAGCATCATGCACACACTTAGTGGCGGCTGGCAGGAGTCCTCTCAGTTCCTCGAAGGAGGACCTCTCTGCAGGGTTGCTTAAGTGCCCTTCTGGGCAACTCACATCCCCCAGAGCTGTGATCCAAGAGAGAGCAAGGCAAGAGAGTCTGGTCTCATCCTGTCACTCAGCAAAACTCTGATGTAATGTTGGAGAGGACCACAGGACTGCCAGGGGGTGGGACAGAGACACTAGATGCCATAACTCCCAAGTGTGGGTCTCCCCCCACCCCCAGCCCAAGATTAATTGTTTGTTTAGTTTTTGTTTTGGTTTTATTAAGTTGTGAGTTTGGATGTGAGTGTGAAGGTCAGAGGTCAACTTTGAGGAGTCCATTCTCTCCCTTCACCCTGTGGAGCCCAGAGATGGAACTTAGATCCACAGCCTCAGTGGCTGAGACATCTCACTAACCCTGGTTTGGTTTGGTTTTTGGAGACAAGGTCATGTTATGTAGCCCCCTCTGGCCTTGAACTCACTATGCAGCTCATGCTGGCCTGAAACTTACAGTCATCCTTCTGTCTCAGCTTCCCAAGGCATGTGCCACCACACCCAACTCCAGAGTCTGTAATGATGTCCCACTTGGATGTCTAGTAATGAAGCATAATGTCGCTCTCCACCAAGCAGAGCTCAGTCTCCACTTGCTCAGGCCAAGTGTGGGGGCATTATCTATCCCTCACTCCTTCCTCCCCCTCACCATTTCTCTGCCTTCACAGGACAAGCCCCCAGCAGCCTCCCTACCGGGCTCCCTGCTCCCCCTGGCTCCCCCTACAGTCTGTTCTCTGCACTTGCCTTCAGCCCTCTTCTTCAGTTCCCCCGTGGCTCTGGAGTAAACCACAGCCTCGTAATGGTCCCCGCCCTCGGGCATCACTTCCTCCCTCTCTCCCCATTCCTCCCAAGCCAGGCCCCACCTCAGCACCTTCGCATTGGGTGTCAGTCTACAATGCTCAAACCACCCCCCAGGTCTTTAATCACGAGGCTCACCCAGCCTTCACACAGAGGTCTCACGGAGGAGGGCTTCCGCCTCTGCTCTATCTCCAAAGTCAGCATCCTGCCCGTCCACACTCTATGTCTATTTATTTCTCTCCCAAGCACTATCGGACAGAATATATATGTTTATATTTGTTGTTTTCTATCTCTGCATACTTGAGGAGGGCTGGGCTCTATTTTTTTTTTCCCTGTCTCCATTGCTGGGAATGGAACCCAGAACCTTACACATATTGGGTAAGCCCTCTACCACTGAACCACATCCCAAGTCCCAAGGACCAGGAATTCTCTTTTATTCTTTGCTGTAACTCGGGGTGCCCAGATCAGTGCCTGGCACTAAGTAAATATGCCTTCCAGTAATGTGGGGGCAGAAACAGGAGGGAGGGGTAGGGGAAGTCAGAAAATATTGTGTGGAAAGACAGGGGTCAGAAAGTGAAAAAGCAGATTCAGGGACAAACACAAGGAAAGATGAAGCTGAGAACGGGATGGCGGTGGGGGAAGCGGTACAGAAAACACCAGCGTCGGCCAAGGGAACAGAACTGGGAGGTGAGGAGGGAGTAGGACGAGAGGAGAGGTGCAGAAAGGAGGTGGGGGCGGGGAGGGAGGTCGCGGCGTGCCCTGCGGTGACCGTCTCGCCGCCCCCAGGTGTCGGTGTGCCAGGAGATGCTGCAGGAGCTGCGCCACGCCGTGTCTTGCCGCAAGACCTCGCGTTCCCGCCGGCGCCGGCGCCCGGGCGGCCCGAGTCGGGCCCTGCTGTCGCTGCGCGCGGTCCGAGAGATGCGACTCAGCAACGGCAAGCTCTACTCGGCCGGCGCGGGCGGGGACGCGGGCGCGCACGGAGGTCCGCAGCGCCTCCTGGACGACCCCGGACCTCCCGGGGGGCCCCGGCCCGCGGCTCCCACGCCCTGCACACACGTGCGCGTCTGCCAGGAGTGCAGGCGCATCCAGGCGCTGCGGGCTTCGGGGGCTGGGGCGCCCCCACGTGGCCTGGGCACCCCAGCTGAAGCCACTAGCCCTCCCCGGCCGCGGCCAGGCCCCACAGGACCCCGCGAGCTGACCGAGCACGAATGACCATGGACGGGGCCGGGCGTGCGCCCCAACTGACTGCAGGGACGCAATGCGCCCCCGATGGACAGGAAGCCGCGATTTTGCCTTCAGTTCCCGGTGAATTCCGAGCCCGGCTCCGGAGCCGGCCTGCGTCTCCTAGTGGACTCGAGCGAGGGTGTCGCGGACGCCCGCATTCCATCCCGCGCCGAGGGCGGGAGGAGCGCAGAGACCGAGGACTCCAAGGGCTGGGGACTGTGGGGGCCGCTCCCGGAGTTGGAAAGCGGTCCGCGGGGAGGACCCCAACCTGGGACTGCTCAGACGCCCCAAGACTTGACACGGCTCTCCACACTTCTGGAGGTGGGGAGGGCCTCTGGACATGTGGGTGTCCCCTGGTGCCCCTCCTCTCTTCTCTTTCTCTCTTTTTTTGGGGGAGAAACCTCAGAATTTCTATGAGACGCCCCCAGGGAGAGGGTCAGTTGGGCCCCTATACCTCCCCCTGCCACATCTCAGTCCCTGTTGGAATAAAAAAAGAACAAAACCCCAAAACTGAGGGGGTACGTGGGTTTCATTTTCTGGGGGATGGGGGTGGGAGGTCAACGGGCGTTTTTAGACACTCGGAGTCTGCGGAGAGCAGGAAGAGATTTACACACTCGCCACCTTGGGCAATGCCCGAAACATGCAGGTCAGCTCAGGTCCCAGCAGCCGCCCCCTCTCCATTGACCTTCTCTCAGGACAGAAGGAGGCTGCGACAGAGACCCTGGGACAGATGGAGAGACGCAGGATCTGGAAGGGCGGAGACACTGAGAGGAAAGACACGGAAAGAATGAAACCAGATGGGGCTGGGGGATGGGAGAGCCTGGGAACTGTGGGTGTTAAAGTCTGGGGTGGCAGCTAGAGTGGCGGTGTGGGACTGGGCTACAGTGAATTGAGAACCTGGGGGTCGCGAGTGTGATCCCTGTGAAGCCACCTTCAAGAGTGACCGAACCTTGAAAGTTATGTCCCTCCCCAGCCCTCAAGAGAGGAAGCGAGGAGCTGGAGAAGGGGGCTGAGGGCTGGCTGAGCAGGGAGAAGGATGGGCCTGCCTTCCGTCCCCGCCTTCCTCGCCACTCTGGAGGTTTCTGTGGAGAAAGGACGACTGAAGGTCACACGGCCTGATCCAGATCGAGGCCGAGCAGGAAAGAGAGAGAGATGCGGCGCGGGTGGGGGAGAGGCAGACGGATAGGGAAGAGGGAAAAGAAGATCTGGAGGACAAAATGGGCGAGGGCTGCAAAGTGTTAGAGGCGAGGAGAGGGAGGGCAGAGGGAGAGATTCTTAGAGGCAGAGAGATTGCGGGAAGGGACGCGGCGGGTGGAGGGGACGCGAATGAAACGGAAGGTAGAGGGCACAGGCAGTGGAGGTGACAGACAGGAAGTCACAGAAAGCTAAAGGGAGATCGAGGGGGACCCGAACGACAAAGGGAACAAGATCAAGAACATGGAGCTGCTGAGGACGGAAGCTGGGCCCGCCCTTCAACCTCGACAGGCTCTCAGGAGCTGTCCGTTTCAGCACCCAGCGGCCCGCCCGGCGCGCAGCAGCCAGGGTCTGCTCAGCAGCCAGGGTCTGCTCAGCAGCCAGGGTCTGCTCAGCCCTCCACGGCCCCCTGGCAGAAGGCCACGCCCCGAGAGACCCCCACCCCGCACCTCCATGTCAGGCTGCTTCACGCTGTGTCCTTAGTCTCCACTTGGCCGCTTCTGTGTCTCAGACTCTTGCTGTGTGTGCCATTCCAGGCCAGCCCCAACATCTTCCCCCTCTCTGTCTTTCTAAGAGACTGATCAATCATCCTGCCCCGGGGCTGGATGCTGTTGAAGTGGCTCTCATTGCGGATTTTTCTGGTTTCCCCCTTCTCTGTCCCAATAGCACGAGACCGCTCTTCTCCAGGGTCTGTCCTCATTCTCTAACCCACCGAGTTTCTCCCCGTTTTATCTCTAACTCCCCCTGCTTGGCAAACCTGTCCTCTGCCCAGCTCTCTAAGGTTCCCCTTGTTTCTGCCACCCTCTCTGAACATGTCTGCTACCATCTTCCTGGTTTTGTTTGGTCTTGGTTTTTGGTTTTTTTTTTTTTTCATCTCTGCTTTTGCAGATCTTTTCTTCCGTCTTGTGTTTGTAATTCTCCCTGGCTCTGGGGTGGCTCTAGTCTGTATCTCTCGTCTCTCTCCTTCCACCTCTCCCTACGCGCTCCGCTGTCCTCCTCCATCTGGGGTGACCTTCTGAAGTCTTCCCTCCCCCTCTCCTTCTGCAGAGCACTGGGAGCATGATGCATCAGTCATCAGTCTAGCCAGGCTGGTGTCTGAGGAGGATTTACATGAGGGAAGCTGAGCCTGTTTCTGGGGTGGGATGTGGAGAGCCTCTGGCCCCCCAGCCTGGCTAGAGGGCAGGAGGAGCACATATCCCCTGGGATCTAGGATCCCCTCCCCAGCCTTCCCTGACTCTAACCCTGTCCTCTGTGGACCAGCCACAGACCTCCAGGCTCGCATACTGGGAGAGGGAGGCACGAAGGGATAAATGTTGGTAACAACCCCTCCACCCCAGGGTAAGGAACAGACTCGAGGAAGGGGTGTCTGAGAGCAATGCACCTGGGTTGAAAGATGGGGCTCCTCCTCCTTCTTCTCATCTCCATGGCAACAAGCCTGATCTGCAGGTCCAACCTCCTTTGCTGCAGAGTCAGCCTCCCTGTTACCATGGCAACAAGGGACAGCAGGAGAGATGGGAACTGGCCGGAGAAGAGGGTTGTGATGAAGCTCTGGGTGCTGGGGGAAGCCCCTTCCTCCTTCTACTGTGGCCCTATCTATTTCTGCCCGAGGCCAACTCTCTGTGTCTCTGTGTCCCTCTCTCTAGATTTGAATGTCCCCTTGAGGTCAGGATCATCTTAAACCCCCACCTTCTTTTTTCTTTTTCTTTTTTTTTTCTTTTTCTTTTTCTTTTTTTTTTTTTGAGCAAGGTCTCACTATGTCCTGGAGCTCACTGTATAGACCTGGCTGGCCTTGAACTCATAGAGATCTGCCAGCCTGTGCTTCCCCAGTGCTGGGATTAAAGGCATGCACCACCACCATGCCCAGCAGATCATCTTAACCTTAACATGAACCAAACCCTGACCCCACACAGGCTTACTTCCCGCTCCTAGCCAGAGTTCTCTCTCTTTCCCCATCCCTGTCTTCTACCAGCATCCCCAGGGAGAGTCCAGAATGTTCCTCATGAGCACAGTGTGTCAGGGTGGGGATGGAAGGCTCTGACACCACAGACTCCAGTGTGGAAACTAATGGGTGCTGCGTGTGTGTGTGTGTGGGGGGGGTAATGGGAAGGTATGTGTGCATGTGCCTGTATACACACAGTGTGATATGGGTGTGGTGTGTGGGTGGGGATGTTGGGATGTGTTTGGAGGCGCAACAAAGTTATACATGACACTACAGTAATGTGTGATGTGTGAGAAGTGTGGGATGGTGTCCCATGGCTTAGTTCTGAGTGACTTGTGTTACCTGTGAGTCTGCGCCCGTCTTTGCCTGTCATCCACAGCAAATGTTTGTCCAGTCTGTGCCGTGAGCCTTCTTTCATGCCCTGACACACTGGGAACAGTACATGATGTGTAGGTGTGTTCGACGGCATGTACGTGCAACCGTGGCCACAGAGGCGGCTGCTATGGGTGTCCTGAGGAAATGTGTGTCCTAGGCACATGCAATGGTGGCAAGTGGAGGAATCTGTTAGTTCTCCGTGTAAGATGGTGCAAGGTCAGCTGTGGTGCAGTGTGTGATGTGAGTCTGGGAGGTGGTGTTCTGAGGGCGTGGGCTCCCCACAGCACTTCCGCATCGTGACTGTGGTTCTGTGGTGATGTGGTGGGTGTAAGAGCTGTGTGCTCTTGGTGGATGCCCCTCCTGCCGGGTTTTGAGCCTCTGGTTGAAGGGTAGTGGTGGTGAAGGTGTGACTGGGGTACGGTTGTGAGCCTGTGGGGGTGTGTGTGGGGGGTGATGGTGGCGCCTGACTGTGGTGCCTCCTGGTGTGTCCTTCTGGCTTTGTTGTGTCTCCTGTGTGGTGCGTGTGGTGGTATCTTACTGGGTAGCTCAGTCAGGGTGGGGACACAGTGAGGAGGGTCTTAGGACTCTCTCCCGCCTCTGCAGCACCGCTCCTCAATTTGGGAGCCTTCCTTGTTGTCTGTTTCCCCACCAGTACCCCTCCTGCAGTATCTTCTCCCTGAACAGTGTCCAGCACAGACTCCTGGGGTCCCCCTACATATTGCAAGATGGTGGTGCTCTGGGGCCCTGCATTACTGCATTCACTGGTGCTTTCCTCCAACCCTGTGCCCACCACACTCCCAGGAGGCAGTTTCCGAGGTGCTTCCTCCCTCAGAGCCTCCATCCCTGAGGTCCCTCCCTGCATCGAGGGGGGCTGGTCTCTAGGTCCACCATCCACCGTGGGGTGTCCGGGATCCCCACCCCCCACTGTGCTCAGCTCCCCGGTGGCGCCGCCACTTTGCAGAGACAAGGTTGGAGCGGTGGAGGGGGAAGGGGGAGGACAGCTGCAGTACCGGGGGCCGGGCCTCGGGCTGTCCGTCAGCTCAAAGCCGCTCCTGATTGGCCTGCGCCGCCTCCCCCCTCGGGCGCGGGCATATGAGGAGGCAGAGGCCCCGGCCACCGCAGCCTCTGTGCGGTGGGACCCACGGACCGACAGACGCACGCTCCCACCGCGGCGCGGGCGCTTCAGAGGCCCACCAGCCGGAGCCCGCGCCTGAGCCGGCCCTGCGGCCACCACTCACCAGCCCGTCCGTCCCTCTTCCCACGGAGCCGCCAAGATGGGGGTAGGTGCAGGGGTTGGCAAGGCACTGCGTGTGTGTGATATTGTGGGTCCAATGACACTGGGCTGTGCAGGAATTGGGGGGCTCCCGCATTCCTGAGCTCTGGGGCCGAGTCTGCAGAGACCCGCGAGCCGGCTGACCTGACCATTTCGTGTGATGGTGTGTCTGGGAAAGCGGGCTACTGAGTCGAAGAGGGTCTGTGGCGCATGTTGGTGGCTTTGTCCACGGGGGCGGGGGCTGGCCCTTAGCATATCGGTTTGACCTTGTGCGGTTGCTCGTGTGCCCGTTGCATGAGTGTGGTGGCATGAGTGCAATTGCTTGAGGGTGAGTGCGTGTGCGCGTGCTCCTGGCTCCCTCTAGCAGTGGGGTCTGCAGCTCTCTGTGCCCTCCCCCCTCCATCTAAAAGCCTGCAACCTGTCTGGGTGTGTCTGAGAGCTATGTTAGTGTGTCTAGAGGGGACTGAAGACCCCCTCCGCTCCCCGGGTCCCCTAGCCCAACGGAGATAGATACAGGCTATGGGATGGACGTGAGATGACCTCTCTTTCTCCTTCCAGGCCTGGATAAGGGTGATCTGCAGTGACCGACTTGGGGCTGCAGAGTTTGTACAGCCCCTAATCTGGGGGGAACAGACATGAGGGCTAGGAGGAGGGGGGGGGAGCGGGAAAGAAATGGCTGACAGACAAGTGCCTGGCTGAGGGTGTGCAAGCACAGTCATGGGGGGGGAG